GAAGGTTGGTTATGGATGGGGAAATACTATAATTGCTTGTATTGAAATACTGATATGTGTTGCTTCAATGATTATGTACTTGTGGACGAGGAAAGCTGGAGCCCAGTTGACTTTGAAGGTACAAATACACAGATAGTAAAGGTTTCCGAAACACAATAAGCCGGCATATGTTTCCTTTGCCTTCGCCGTAACTTTTCTAGACGTCACTTTGGTTCTGTTGTACGGCTCTTAACCTTCGCCACGCTACAACCATCATTTGGCGATGGGAAGACCATCGAAGCATCAAATAGGCGAGAAGGAGAGATGCCGCAGCAATGCTTAACCAAACCCCAAGCCTCGTATAGCTACCTTCATTCAACTCTTGTAGATTCATGCCAAATATCGATGTTGAGAATGATAATGGTAGAAAGAAGAAACCAAGGGTCGACAGTTTCCGCACGGTTTCTCCCTGATAGATGGTTCTTTGAGAATCATCAATCATAGCCGCATTTGCCAGCATCGAAGTACTTTGCAAGTAATCCTCACTCAGCTTGATAGCCCGTCGCCTCATCTTTTGGTAGTCACGCTCAATTAGCCGATGAGAAACGTCGGCTTTCCTTAACCCACTCTCTGATTTGGCTGTGGTCCAATTATTACTGTCTTTTGCCTCCAGAAATTCGCATATTTCTTCCAGGCTTTGCACATGTCGATCGAGGATCTGTTTGTTGTGTACCAAATTCCACATTGTCAGTCTTTTGTCGAACTTCGTCTCGGCAAGAACTGCAGGCTGCATGTCCTCTTCGAGAAGATGCTGCAACTTGTCTAGAAACTGCGCTTCGGAGGCCACCGCAAATCTGAAAATACCGCTTAGGCTGTAATAAGTATCCTCTAGCATTGTATCGCTATCAAGAAGTGTGTCGAAAGCCTCATGCAATAGCTTGAAGGTTGCTGGCTGGGATACAAAGCTTTCATCATCGTCTGTTTGTTGATAGCATGATCGCGAGCCTCCCAAAACCTTTTCGTCGGCGAAGAAGATCCCAGGTCGATGTTGTGTCGTAGCCCAATACCTAACAGGTATGCCTGTGTATTCCAAAAGCTTCGAGTTCCAGGGACCTTCATCATCAGGTCCAAATCCACTTCCGAAGTCTAGCCAAACAACCGCTGGCCCAAGTCAGATCCTGCCGCTATAGCCAACAAAGGTAATTTCAATCCTTACCTGTCCAATGTTTGGAATTGTGCTGTCTCTCTGTCACACATATTGATATCGTCTGTTCCAATGAAACATGCTGGCGGTCAAGCACAAAGAAGTTTCTGGCCATTGACATTCCATGCTCAAGTTCAGGCCCATATCGGTCCCAGCTCTTGAGATATCTCTTCATAAGACCGGATATTTGTTCTCGTAGACTTGAAAGCCTTTTTTGTTCTTCCTGTTCCGATCGCTTTGTGTTGTTGTGGGCGAATCGTGTACCCAGCGTTGTAAGTTTTAACTGCATCATTTGGGTCTTGGATGACGGCAGAGACGCATCTGAGTACTGTTGTTCCTGAGAGAAGGGGCTTGCGGCAGAGAAGTGAAGATGTCGACGATAGAACTCTGGCTCGAGTGAAAGCTTATGCCCGATGACATTCAGCCACCGTGCCGGCTGATAGCCCCTTAAAAACACAATGGTGCCACCAACACGGCAAGAATTTACTTGGTCTAAAGACGACTCAAGCTCTTCCAGAGTTCTCACATCGTGACGAATGGGGCTGCCGCCCCCTGGGACATACGTGCGCAGGTGAACGAAGGCATCGCCATTAGGTGTATTTTCAAAGTGTTCGACAGATTGCTGGTCCTCCCCGGATGGGTGATAGGGCGCCCCCAAGAATGATGACAGCGGGCCGAGAGTGCTGAAAGTGTAAAACGAGTTTCCACTATGTTTCCTGGACTTGAAATCAATCCGCTGTGCGTAAACTTGCTCCTCAGATGCCCTTGCTGAGACGATGTTAATCCTGCGCGTGGAGAATTCACAATGGGGCTGGGGACTTTATTCACCTCGGATCAGACTCGGTCGAGCCGCTGTCGGAAAAGGAGGCTTTTCCTCCATTCTGCGGAACGGAAAAATTATACCACAGAAAGAATATGGGAGATCGTTGCCGAGCGTTTGTGCTAGGCTCCGTCACTGCTTGGCACTGAGGAATTGAAGGCCAGGACGAACTGCATGCCCTTGATTCAAGGGCGCTGCCGTATTGTTGTCCGGAACAATGTATTTATAAAGACAAGAAAAGACGACAGAGGCTTGAAATAGAGCCAAATGTGTCTGCCTGCACCATGCAGCCTACTTGGTTGGGGCGGCCTCCCGAGGCGAAACCCTGTGGAAGCGCCAACCGGAGCTCCAACCCCCCAACATGGTCACCAGGGCGGTTCAGATAAGTAAGTGTGGTCACACAAATGTCGAGGCTGTACAAGGATTACTTTTCAACATCAAAATCGGACCAGAGACCCCGGTCTAGAATTCGAGGCGCTATTTCTGGCTGGTACAGATTTCGGTGGCTCGGTGAGAAGCCTTGCTTTGCATCCCGAAAGGGTGGACACGCCACGTAATACCGTAGCCTTATTTCGCGTACAACATGCTAGTGCAAAGTGGCTATGCTTTGAACATTGGAAATTGTATGCCAACCTCAATTACTATAAGATCAAATATGATGGTTTGATCTGGCTCTCCGTCCTTCGTCTGAAGTCGTCGGCGACGGTCCGACGCTTTCATGGGGATGGCCCGGTATGACCCACTTCATGAAGCTGGCCCGCACTATGGTTCAGGAAGTGCCGCGCTCCCACTTGGCCCATGTTTTCTGTATGTGCGAGAACTGTTAGTTACAATTAAATCTAAGGAGTTGTGGTCATTCGGAAAAGGGTATAGAACGTAGAAGATTATTCCTATAGGCTAAGGCTCAGTGTTCATCATTCCTCTCGCAGGCGCCCGCTTCGTTTAAGAACCCGTCTGCTTCCTGTTGGTGAAGAGCCACCTCCTTCTGCACTACTTCAACCCTAAAATAAACATGATTATTATGCCAGTCTTCGGCTCCAAATTCTACATGTGAACGAGGAATCTGCGGATAGAGGCAAGGTTGAACTTATGACATAAGATAGACACAAAGTCGACCAGGACCGGCATCCAAGGGGTGATGGCAAGTGCTTGGCCCAGGCTCCAATCATCCTCTGCCTTCTTCGAAGCGCCAGTAAAGAAGGAAACAAGTACCATCCAGGTTCCCCATATACAAATGAAGTTCAAAGTAGCATATAAATTGACTATTCTCTTGGCAACCTTCTCGAGCCATTTTGCCTGCCACATTTTGCGGTTGTTGCACCAAAAAAGCAAAGCAAAGCGCTGAGACATAGGCCGAAAAGTTTTGGCATTCACGCCATTGCAGTCGTTGTGAGCATAACAGCCCCAACAGAAATCTGCGGTGGGTGGTTCAGTAGATAGGCATCGGAGACAACTTCATTATGGTAGTAATCGCCTTAGACATTGTTGGTGCAGAGAACCCATGCTGAAGTGTGGATGAGGAAGGGACCGACCAGGATGGCCCTTCTCATGCAGCTACGGCTTGTGGAATCTCTACATGTAGGATGAATGGCAGAATTGCGGCCAGCGAATGAAAGCTTAGAGCGGAGACGATGAGTTGTAAAGATGCGTTGTACTTGTGGACGCTAGGCTTTACTTGGCTGTAGATGACAGTACCTAGCCTAGATTCCGATGGAGAGAGAAATGCTGCGACCATATCTTGTTCCTCTAAACGCCTCGTCAAAGCGAGAAAAAAGTCCGGATTTGCCGCAAGATCGCGGTGCTTGAAGTATATCGACCGAGCTAGATAACGTTTTGTCGCGCTTTGAGAAAGCTAGGATAGCAAAAGCACAGTAAATATTGAGTAAAACACACTCGATACCGTAAGAAGAAAGAAGCTGCCAGATGTTAGTATTACTGCTGCGTAGCAGAACTGTTCAGTCATATGTGTACCCCACAGCCTGCCAGGCCACCTTTCATCTCGGAGCCAATTGGCTGGCATATCGAACTGTGACATAATCCTTTGTTGATCACTTGGTTAGCCAACTAAGTTCTGTTTGAGCGTACCCAATTGTGCCAATCAATGATTTGTGTATTAGTTGCATTTCTGCGGTTATGGCCTTCGACCGCCGTTCGCCAAAATGATGCGACATCAGGGTAGGCGGTTCGTTGTTGTGTGTCAAGATCTAGGCAAAGTAATCTCCCGACAGGGAAAAATTCCCGCCGATGTCAAAGGAAGTCCATGGCGTGTCGGTACCTGGAATTGTGCTCATCGCCAGGTTTTGCTGACAAAGACCGCCAGTCGAGATTGGCTCATATCCTGCTGATCGGATAGGAGAAGGAGACTTGTTTCCTCCATGTCGTGACGCGACGATGGGAAGACAAACACGACTTTATCGAATCTTTGGTGCCTGAATATGTATAGCCCTTGGAAGGATTCAGCCCCTGGCATCGAGTAGCATTGACCTCTGCGGTGGCACCAGTGCCTTCCTCAAAACCATAAAATCGTTTACTGAGACACAGCTACACTATTATCGTAAGCTCCGCCCATGATCTGCCAAACTTATCCGCAAAGTAGCCTTAGTACAGATAGAATAACTGCCATGGTGGCTGCCAGTAACTCGTCAATTGCTTTTACATTAAGGCTTATGTGAAAAGTAACATGCTTTTTCTTTACTCCAGGAGTGTCTACTGCAGTTGAAGAAGGCCATAAAACCACTAGAGCACCTCTTTTTTTTCGCCTTTTATTGCTGAAAATGGAAGTCTTCGTTGAGACGACTGCTTTCGGGATGTCACTTATCACTTGCGGGCAGATGTTGGAAAGAAGTTCAAGGTTCTGAAATTCTCCACGGGCCTATCTTCTAAATGAAAAGCGGTGTCGCCATTATCAAGCTCGGATGTTTCTCGACTATCTCTAGCCAGCGGCCCTAGAGATTGATGCTATGCCCTGATATTCTTTCAGATTGCAGGTCTGGCTTTTTAGTGCGCAAAGCGGAAGTCAAGTCTTTGTTGTCCCTCATCAGTGGTGTTGATAGAGTAGTCCTCCTGTTGCTCCTTGGACATGGCGTTCCACCGCCTGTCGCGAACCTTGTTACGCCAGATGTAGAAGGCCTTGACGAAGTAAAACAGAACGATGTTGAAACAGCAGATCCCGAGCAAAATCTTGTTTCCACGGCGATACAGGGGCTGGTCGTCATCTCGATAGATGTTTGAAGCCGCGATGTTGCCCGCCTGGACGAACATGTTGTACAGTGCAGCACTGACAGCTCTCGTTCGCACGGCATTGCTGTTTTTGGCATTCCAGCCGACCAAGATCGCGTGACAGTAAGGATAGCTGAGCAACCCCGTTAACAGGGCGTATCTGATCCAAGTACTTGTATCAGCAGGGAGGGCAACGAGAGCGACAAGCCAGGGGAAGATCCAGATGTTTGAAATAGATGACACGATGGCGCGCTCCTTGAACTTTCCGGAAACCCAAGAAATGATCAAGAGGTTGACGGCAAAAAGGAACTGGGAAGGAATGGCGAGAAGATTGGCCTGGAACGTCGAGAAGCCCAATCGGCGCAGAATGTAGGACAGGTACGTGCTCGGCGGGGAAGGCGGGATGTAGGTGGTGAGGCCGATCAAGTACAAAGGCCACTGCTCCCAGTCCTTGATAGCCTTGAATAGAAGAGACGGGCCAACGGCTTCGCTATTCAGTGAGTTAGTTTTTTATTCACGGTGGTAGTTGTAGAGTACGAGTATCCATACCGGTTGTGCATGTCACCCTTGCTCGGGTCATCCCGCAGCAAGCGGTTGACCATGATCAGCTCTTCGTGTTCGGTGAACCACCCATCCTTTCCACGGAACCAGTTTCTGGTCTGCGTAGGGCCAGGAGGCATCAGACCCCACGAGAAGAGACCGATGATGAGAGTTACGATACCCTCGATAAGGAAGCTAGCCAGAGTCAGTTTCGATCTGAAAGCCGCGATCGCGACGAAAGCTTACAGCCATCTCCAACCGGCCCATCCTGCCACACCTCGCATCTGAAGTACACCGGCAGCGACTAGTGAACCAACAATGTTTACAGTGCTAAGAGCTGTCCAGAACCATGCGAGTCTCAGGGGCAACTCGTTAGACTTGTAGAAATATGTGAGCCACAGCACAATATCACTATCAAAAGTCAGTATTTTACGCTATGAGACAAAGGAAAAACGTTAAAGCTTACGGAATGAAACCTCCCATGAGAAGACCAAGCAGAGCCTTCACGGCGTAGAACCCAGCACGGTTCGATAAGAAAGCCTGGCATCCTGCCGTAATCGACCAACCAACCATAATAGAAGGGATCCAAACATCGGCACCAAGCTTCTTACTGACCAGACCACTGGGCAACTCGGCAGCGAGGAATGACAGAAGGAAAATCTCAACCACGTATAAGCCTATGTGTCCCGCCAGATATCTTATCGCATGAGGGTACTCACAGTTTGTCCATAGTTGAAATCGTTTGTGGTCATGCCGAGCTCCGGAAGCTGTCATCTGAGTTAGCGTCTTCAATATTGCCTTAGTCTACGCTGTCAACTTCTTACCATGTTGTCGGAGATTGCACGATTGATGTTTCGCCGGTGCAAATCGAGAGCACAGAACATGACCTTTGAATGCCGTTAGCTCCAGTCCACCGATGTGCTCAGAGAATGGAGTTCTTACCCAAGCCCACACCATGATTTTTCTATCAATCTACGCCGAGTCAAGTCAGCATCCATTTGAATCCGTGTTGGCCAACTACAGGTGGACAAAAGTATACCTTCCTAACCAATTTTCTCTCGTCCTCGGCCGACCACGTGTAGTTGGGATCGAAACGATGGCGGTTCTCGTATGAAGCCTTCTCGTAGACCTTCCGCCAGTGGTCGGCGATGCTGGGATCTGAAAAGACATGTTCGTCTGTGGATCCGTACTGCTGGGCGACCTGCTCTTTCAATGACGAAGCTGAAGTGTCGGTAGCAGCCTGCGTCTGGATGGTGTTGACCTCTTTGGTCGAGTCCCTGAAGGGGCCTTCAACTCCTTTCGAGGCCATAGCTAAATGTGACCAGCAAACACTTGACAAACCAATTGTCACGTTGGATGCAGAGTCCTGTTGAAGTCTTTGAGCTCTAGCCACACAGAGGTACCGGGAGCATGGTCCGGTCCGCGGAGATGCATGGACCTTTATACATTCCCTCCTTGGATCCGACAATCTGGTAGTGGTATTCGAACCAGATCCATTTCAAACCTTCATTCCGACATTGGATGACAGGGGCTCTCCAGAGAGAGAAAAGCCTTCACAGTGTCGCGATGATCCAAGGCGATCACCTCATGGGCGATTTGCTCCCTTGAGCGAATAGAACTTCTTATCTATGGTGCAATCGCTTGACTGAATTGCGCCGCACATCAATGGCCCAACGAGTTGTCCAGGACAGCGTGGGGGGTGTGATCCGGAGTGGCTCCGGCTAAGTTCAATGTCGTCGACGATAGCTAGGCGGCAGCTCTCACCTAGGGGCAGCGAGCGCGCTATAAACAGCTAATTCAAGCTTATTTTACAGAGGCTTCAGCTAAGCGGAAGGAATCCCGTCTGGGTCTACGGGAGCGATTGGGGGGTGGACGTGTGAGGGTCTAGATGCCGGCTGAGGAGAGCTGCTCAATGCCGCAAAGATGACGAGTCAATCACCGTATGTGGATAGTGCGTCCGACATCGAGGATAATCCATGCCGGTTCCTATTGAGTCTTGAGGGTCTCAAGCGGCATGAGCACCGACATGTTTGTTGACGAAAAAGGCCTGGAGAATTTATTGCGTGATGGGGGCCATGAGATTGCGACAGACTCTTGGGCCGAAATATGAGAGATTGGCCAATCAGGTGACAGCAAAGGAAACAACTCGCGTCGACTGCCAGCCCCTCCGACGGTCCCTTCAAATCGGCTATGCAACTCGCCGCCAAGTATTTGTTCTAACCCAGTGCCCCATTCATTTATCCAGACGAAGACTTGATTAAAGGCCGTAAGGTCTTTGTCTCACCCAAAGGTCTGGGTCCGCCGGAAAAGTTCCAGACCTCAGCGGTGGCTTGTTAAGGGCAGAAAATGCCCTCAAGTTCAAGATAGCTTGGAAATACACTTTAGCTCTATATTAGGTCTCAAGCGAGGCGAGCTAACCATCCATTCGGGATACTGGCAATATCTCGTCATCCGCTAGTAATACTTAGTGGTGATGAGGGTTGAGGATAAGTCTTGAACGTTGGTGTGGGCAGAAAGAAACTTGGTGTCCTCCTGATACCGCACTGGTATTGAAGTGAATGGAAAGGGCTCTCCCGGGTCTCCCCTCACAACTGAAGCCACTGACTGATAGTTTGAGAGAAGTAAAGGACTAATTCGAGTTATGCAGGTATCATTTCCCGGCTGACTACATCTGTGGGCAACGAAGATGTTCATTGAGTATTCAACCCCGTATTCACATCAATCCCTACATAATCACTTTGCATTCGACTTAAATCTAAGTAATGGTAATAAATCATCATCAGTTTGGCATTTCTTTCGTAACTACCTGGCTTATACGGCTGGTTTTGCAGACTTATACTCAGGCTGCTCGTCTCTACCGACCATATCGGCCTTTGACGTACACAAACAACACGGGATTCCTCAATCCTTCAGCGCTCTAACCCTTGAAGGGCGTCTCATACGGCCGCTCAGCCTGCGGTGTGATTCTAGCCAAGTGCCTTCTTGAACCGTTGTTCCAGTCAATGAGAGCTGAGTGCTGAGTGACACGGTTATCCCAAACAACTACAGTGCCCTCCTCCCATTTCACGCGGGCATGGAAGTCTGCGCCCCAAGCGATGTGCTCATACAGGAACTTCAGCAGAGCATCGGACTCTTCCTTCTTAAGACCAACAATCTCGCGCGTGACTATAAATGGTCAGTATTCGAGTGAAGGTGATATGATATGGGATGCTTCAACTTACACTGAGGGTTGATGAACAGAGCCTTCTCGCCGGTGACAGGGTGCGTGCGGACGATGGGGTGAGTGTTAGCAACAGGCTCGCGACGCTTGATGCTACCCTTCTTGACAGAAGCGGCAACCTGCTCAATACCAGAGTGGACAGCCTGGAGGCCATGAAGTCTCTCTTGGAAGAGCGGGCTCAGTCTGTTGTAAGCCTCAGCGGCGTTGCAGAACAGAGTATCACCTCCCGTCTCAGGCTTGTCGAGGATATAGAGGAACGTTGTGCCAGGAGGCTGCTGCTCATATGAGACATCGGAGTGCCACGCGATAGAGCTAGTTCTGGTGGCAAAGAACTTCTCTGCTGACCTGTCGCCCGCGGCACGGTGGACAAGGTGAACTTCGGGGAAGTTCTCAGGGGATCCTGAGGTTGGGTGGATGTGATGGCGGCCAAAGTAACCGCCGAACTCGAGGGCCTTGTCGATGGGAAGATCGGCAAAGTCCTGTGCGCGGAAAGCGACAACCTTTCGCTCGGCGACGAAGCGAGCAAGTTGGTCACGGCCAGCGTTGCTGAGTGTGCTGAGCTGAACGCCTCTGACTTCTGTGCCGATTGAGGGAGTAAGATCAGTTACTTGTGCGTCCTTTGGAAGGAGATCAGGGTAGCTAGGGTCTGCGTCTCTGCCGTGCTCGGTGTGCTGGAAGGGTTGCAGGGGAGGGTATTGTTGCTTGGGATTCCACGTGGGCAGGTAGTGAGGATACTACATTATTGAAGTCAGTCTTTCTTCCAGTCAAGTACGACTTGGTGGGCCCTTGAGGCGGTACTGACCTTCGCGCCCTGGTGGCCATCGCCTCCCTTGGCTTCAGCATCCTTATCGTAGGTCGTGGGTGAGAGCTCCTTGTAGTCTCCGGAGCCGTCGGCGTACAGGCGGAGGTTGTTAACCGGGAGGTTGACCGGGTCGGTCACAGTCGCTGTTGCAGTTGCTGAAGGGGCCATTCTGATTTATTGTTGCCGCTGATGGTCTTTTTCCTTTCTAAAAGTCGATTCAAGGATGGATTACCACGCTGAGGACCAGAACCATGAAGCCTTGTCCAGGAGCTTATATAGACTACCCCTCCAAAAGGCTGTCTATGTCGGAGTATATCCGATGAGGGGCATTCGTCCCAAATATTGCATACTGACAAGGATCCGATTGCGTTGCCTCTCGGACTTTTAGCAAGACACAGCCAAGTAGTACCAGCCGACGCGGTACCGACTAATGGGTTTATGGAACATTGCAATGTTATTGGCGTTCAGTACCACTTGAGACGAAAGGATGGAGGCATCGGGTGTTATTGGATGGGGGAAATGACGCCATTCATATCTAACAAGATCTATCTTATGGTGGGATGGTCATCAAAGAGACCACCAAGAATGGCTTTGATTAGCAATGGTGGTTGCAATGTTGCTATCCTGGGCGTCGAGCACGCAATCTGTTGATGCGACTCAGTGCGTGTTTGATGACCCCGCAATCTGGGCGATGCCGGCTTGTACTCTAGTTGCCCCAAAGAGAATCAAGTGCATTTGTGAATAAATTTGGTCCGATCTTATCTTGATACGCGGCAGGTTAAGAGAAGTCTGAGAGATGAAATAGCTTCAGTCGAGTTATGACGAAGGACTTGTAAGCGCAATAGAGGTCGAGTCCAACTATGTCAAGTCATATTAGCTCCGTTGACGAAGCCCGTCCATTGTGGGGCGGGCGGCTTTGTCCCCGTCCGTTTTGTCACACGGCGCAGATCTGGAAGTCGGCCGGCACTCGGATACGCATCCAGACTCAGAAGCTGATTGTGATTCGTTGCCTTCAGTATTCCCGGCGTTGTTGGGCCCCGGAATCGGATGGCCTTTCGGGGATTATTTCGGAAGTCAACCGTCATCGGCCGGCAAACTACCGCTTTCCCCCGGTTGGATCGATTGTCTTATTTTTCATCCTCAGACTCACACGCGTATCTTGTTTTCGATTCGGCCACAACAATTGAGCTTCTAAGTTATCATTTGACGGTGAAGGTCATTTAGCCCCAACAGGGTGAACACTCTCTTATACCAGAGGAAAGCAAATAGGATCTCTAGTCAGCACCTCCAGACTCCATGCGAGGTCATTCTAACACCCGCCATGTGGACAATCACTGAGGGCTGTTCCGGTAGCTCCGCGAACATTGACTGTTATTTGGAAAGCTGAAGAGCATGTGCTTTCCTTCTAGGTCTACTTGCTAATAATGACTCTGTGCGCAATACGCTATCTCGAGACTGCTTGACAACTGCTTGACCTAGCCAGACATAAAGTTCTATCTGCTTTGACCCGTGCCGAGTACTAATATCTACCTAAGCCCAGCGGCCAGAAGACACAGAAGTCAGGTCACAATGTAGGAGTGTGGTGTCAGAATGAGATACTTTTTCAAGCGTGCCTGGTACAATTGTGATTTGATGTACTAAAGAACCGTTTACTGAATACTTTGCTCGTCACCCCACCTATGCTCTTCAGCCCAGGCAAGCAGGGCGTCATAATCATAGCACTGGTGTTGATAGCCCCATCCCAGGCTTCCTGAGAGCTCATCTGACACCTGCCACTCGATGGTGGTGTCAGCACGGCACTGAATGGCTTGCCTGACAAAATCCCAGCAGTGACTGAGGTGTCCGAGGTCGATCTCGGTCGAATTGCCATCACGTAGCAACCGAAAGAAGGCCTCCCGGATGGCCCACTGTTGAAGTTGTCATATTCTCAGCATCTTCAGCGAAAAGCGGAAAGCGGGTACCTCCTTATGCAGGTACTTCAAGTGTAGAGGATGCTGAAAACTTACCACGCAATGTAGCTGGTGGAAGACCGATATTACTCCCTTGTACTCACTCATGGTCGCATTGAACTTGGGCATCTCAGGAACAGCCGTCTCATTCTTGATGACGACAAACCCACGAGCGTCTGGCGTACATGTCAATTCACCCGTCTCAAATTTCGGTGTTGGTAACATACGAGGCATCAATGCATCCCAAGCTTCCTCGCTCTCATTCGTAATCGGGCCTCCGTATATAGGTTCGGAGTTGAGCGTCTTCTTCATCGGTACTGTAGCCCAACCCATGTTAGAAAATGTCTGTGGTTTTGGTTCCTATACTTCCTTGACAACACAAGAAAATAAATGAGGTAGTTCGTTACTTTGTGGCGGAAGCCACGAGGGCCCCGCGGCTGGACCGGTGTGTGGTGCAGTCTCTGATGCTGGTTGACCACCTGATCGCAGTATGAGGCACGCGCAGAGAACGACAAGGCATATATTCGAAAAAGCAAGCACCGTGATGATACATGGCGCCCAAGGTCGCCGGCTTACTTTACGTGGCTGTTCACCGGTGTTGGAGTCATCGTCGGACCACGCAAGCAACCTGCCCTTTTCACGACATGTCTTGGAGTCCATTACCGCTATTTGTCCCCATCAACGCTGTGCAGTGTGAAGACAATTTTGTGAGATGAGAAAAGTTTAGACCATTAAAGAACGGCCTCAGCGATGAGGTAAAAAAAAAACAAATAGATATAAATAACACGGACTCGGGATTATTGTGAAACGAGTCAGCAGCTTCAATTCGATTTTCGGCATCGCCTCATCTGCCCTAAGTAAAGTGCATTCATCTCGGTGCCGCACGTCCCGACTATGCTCGCCGACTTTGCCAGGTTACCAGGCTCCAGTATACTGACTGATCGACAATCTCCGCCCCAGAATCAATCCGCTTCCAATCTCATGACTTGAAACCACGCCATGACAAGAGTTCGACCTTCATAGCTACTGCCGTCTTTCCGGATCGACGGTGAGCGGAAAGTCAAATAAATTGTAAAGAAGCCTCTCTGGCTCCCAGAGGACACTTCCTACTTTTGTTACATTCCTCCAATCAATACAGTATGTCTTCCTGCTCTCAGTCAGCTGCAGAAGGAAAGCCTCGAAGCTGATCTCCAAGAAATCCAGGACCACCTCGCCAATGGTGCAAAGCCAGGACAGATTAGCACGGTTGAAGTGGCACAGATTATATCTATGAGAATCATTCCCTAGCGAGGTGGTCTAGGGTATGAGACGTCTCTTTGCTCCTGGATCACAAAGGCATGCACGGTGAGTTTTTGTCGGTTCCAAACTCAAAGATCTGGGGAAATACGAAGTCAACAACCCTGTACATCCCGTCGGATCAGAGTCATGCAGCAACCGACGGGATACTATTGCTCCGCTAAGACTGATACTACTTACTTTAATTAACTTGAGCAGAGGTCAAGGGTACGTTGAGACTTTTGGCGAGGTCATACGGAGGATTCATAGAGACTTTGTCTTAGTTTAGAACACACGCCCGCACTTCTAGAACACCAACCTAGTCACATTGGGTGTATATAAAAGAGTATAGGTTGCAACCCTCAACAGACTCATTTTGCTATACATCAATCTCAACCAGCATATTCATTCGTTAATCAATTACTACCGCAACACCATCATCATGCAGTTCAAATTCGTCTTGATTGCTGCGTTCGCCGCCATTGCCGCCGCCACCCCGCTCGGCGAGCACCCCTTCTCGAGTGGCGAGCTGGATGCCCGCCAATGTTGTATTAGCAAAACCACCGGTCAGCGTTGCTGTGGCTTCTGCCGCACCAAGAACTCTTGCAGATAGACAGTATCCGTACGTTTGCTTTCCTTTCCCATCATGCAAGCGGTGCATGCTAACTGGGAAACTTGCAGTGCATTCGCTCGAGACATCTTCCAATCATCCCGGCAGACTTCTGGAGCTGGAGAAAATATTAGCCCGCTTCTTGTTGGAAAATTAGGCGGTATAAATGTCGAAGAATTGAACATTGTCATTGCAGACTTCTTTAACTGGTCGTCACCTTAGTCAACATTATCGTCAAGCTGAATGGTCGAAAGCAAGACTCGTTAGCATCTGAAATTATTTTCTTTTGGCAAAGGTTCAAGTCAAATTTTCAAGGGCTCCATAGTAGACCAGAGAATTGCAAACCCAATAACATACACTTTATTGTAAGATCTTGTATTCATTCAGTATATAAACTACTTCCTTTTGCTTGAGGTGATCTGGCGGCACCTGAGCAACATAGCGGCAGCGATCAGTGAATTATGAAGAAACTTCAGCCGGTTCTTCCTGTCTCCCAACTTGAATACTAAGATGATGTTCTCTGTTGAGAACTCGAAGAGTCCGTTGGGAGTCTCAGCCCCTCCTCGATTCCCGGGATCATGGTTGGAAGAGCCATGATGGCGATCACGGAGCCCAAGATAGATGCCATCGTCCCCAGTGTGACCAAGGCCTCAGATTGAATAGAAGAATGGAGGCTGATGATGAGGGGCGCGCCAACGCCGATATTAGCGGCCATGAAAGTTATCGGAAATATGAGTAATGCGCCAATGAGATGATAGACCACACGATCGCTTCTAGCACGCAAGTTGGCGACGGCAACACTGTAGAACATAACCTGAACGGTCTCCAGAATTCCAATGACAATGGGATATTTGAAAATGCGGAGTACGTGGGGACCCCAATACTCATACACGCCACCGTTGATGACGACGATCTCGAAGAGACATGAGCTGGCGAGTTCTATGGCGGCGTACCGAAAAAAGCATCGACGTGAGATGCCGCTGGTGATTTGGCGGTTCAGGAAAACAGAGACAGTGCCGTAGAGGGTCGCGTAGCCGCTATAAACCCACACGGGCTGCGGGACGCCCATCGAGGTGAAGGCTGTCCACTGGCCCCGGCCGTAAAAGTAGAGCATCAGCGCATTGTCGTAGATTGGCTCAAATATCCCACCGACGCCCGCTGCAAACGCAATAGTGACATAAAACCACGTATTTTCCTTTTTCCGAAGGAAGAGTCCGTAAGTGAGTAAGGAGGCCCAGATGAAATAGCTGGCAATCACGACAATAAGTTGCATTGGGGCCGAAACCCGAGTGTCGATTGGCGCTGTCAGCATAATATGTTGAAAAATGTGGTGAAGAAGCAGAGGAAGAATTTCTTATCGACGGAGGGTAGCTGGAAAAGGACTTCATCTATAAATTATGCGCCAGGAACTCCAGTAAAAGACTGGCAACTAATTAGTCCGTGGAATTAGCCCGAATCAAATCATCCGAGACCAATATTTTCCAGGTAAGGCATGTGAAATAAACAGTCCGTCCGACAAGCACCCGTGTCCAATGTTTTTGTTAAAGTACTCATAATGACGAGGAATCAACCAACTGAGTGCTAATATGTGATATCACTATTCTTAATATGACTGGGTCGTCTACATAGACTGGAGAAATCAGTGTGTCACTCCTGCACGAGATGGTTGTGTCTTTCTCAAAAATCCAAATCTTACTTGGCACGGGCTAATCGGGCTAATACAATTTGATGAACATTGTTCAAGCCATTATCCAGACTGCCCCCGGTCGTTGCGTGCCCTCGAATGCGCAAGAATACACAACCTAAATCATACACACCAGCTCAGGGAGTCAATATCATATGTCTAGAAGGAAATCAGACAGAAGTTCAACTAGCATCTTCAAACTCTAAGGTGGTGCTTACAGTCATCGTTTGGATAACAATTAGATATTACTCTAGTAGCTCCAAGATTATTAACTGTTATAAAGGATTTTGAAGAGCATACTCAGGCCTTTCAAGTCTTGTTTGAATGTGGTATTGATAAGACTCAAGATGAAACTTCTATGATCCGCGCCGAGTCCCTCTCCTTAAACTCCAGCAAAACCACAACAAAGTCGCATTGAGCGCTGCTACAGCGATAACACAAGCCCTGTTTCCTATCAGAAACATTTCCATGGTGACTTCTGCTGTCGTTGAACGAGACTTCATGACCAAGCTGAGCTGCGTTGATGCATAGGCTAAAAGCATGGCATCTGTCATGGTGATGAAGAAGCTTTGCAACCCAAGAAGTGTAGCTATGGTCCCGGGTGGTGGGTTGTCAACGGAGCTTCTCCACGCCGCTATATGAGCTGAGATAACATCGCCAAGGACGGAACCATGAAAACTCTGCAAGCTGTTTGACATCAAATCAAACTGCTTGACGATTGCCCGGGTCAACTCTCGTTGTGTGTCAAAGTCTTCAATGCTGTTCAAAGGAACAACCACAATGCTTCTATCTTTCAGATCAACTGACACTTTGAACAATGTTGGAATGAAGTCAATGGTGCACTGAGTAGCGTTCAGAGCCTTGAAGTGTTCCCCTGCGGCGATGGAAACAAATCGTCGAGGTGATTTGGGGCTATCAGCAACGCCTATCGCCACGATTGAGTTTGGACTCTGGCCGATGTATTCGGACCACTGCGCACTCCCCACGCTGTCGGGTACGAAGCCGGTGACGGCGAACGTTCTGTGGGGATATTCACGATCGATGTGAAAGTTCATAGTCCTATTATATCGGCACATAACGTGTGGAAGATACCCAGGCTGTTTGAAGTGGTACGCCGATGCTGATGGGTTTACTGTGATCATTTTGTCTCTGATGCCAACCAAAGAACCGGCCCCGTATGATCGGCTTCGATAAGAGAAGCCAGTATTGTCGCTCGCCTTCTGCCTGCTTAGTGTCCCGTTGGAAAACGATGGTGATGATAAAGTTGCTGCGAGCAGCTTGCTTAAAGGTGGTGTGCCAACAGAGCCGGTGGAAGCTTTTTCTTCATTCATGATAGATGGTTTAAATTCCGGGAGGTCAACTGTGCTCTGTGCGACAACAGTGCTTCTGACCGGTATCATGGCGCCAGCCCATACTGCCATTGCTAGAGTTGCAACGCAGGAAAGCACAAAGATTGGAGATTTGACTAGTCTCCATGCGTTTGTTGACGCTCTCTGGAAGCGTGGGTCTGAAAAGTCCTTGTGATCCCGCTTGACTGGCAGTGTGTTGACGAACAACGTCTTGATGCTGTCATGTTGTGCAAGAAAAACAAGTGCGATGGCATTGGCGACACCCAGGACGTAGGCCAAAAGACGAATAGTTGGCTCTGCAATATCTCGGATCGAAATATGCATGTCTTGCAGACCAAGTATGCTAGCGAGGAGCTGAGTAGCTGGCAGGGTCCCAAAACATGTCGAAATCGAAGACTCGTACCAAGAGCTGTCG